GACCACTGTATTTGTTTCAAAGAAAGCAGTTGTGGGGGAGGAGGTTATATCTGGAAAACTCCCACATGCAAATTCCCAAGGTCCTTTCCTGAAAGTAACAAATAGTTTCATGAGTGGTGAAATGTACTTCACATGATTTCCAGCAACTCCTCCGCTGTAGCAGAGGATGAGCTCATCAGGTTACAGTCCATGGGATTTAAGAGGTTATATTTCTTGTCATAAAACACTTCAGAATATAGTATCTTTTTGGCCATTACCACTATGTCCAAGTTGTTGAGGTTGGCCAATCACTACTACAAAGGAAAGAAAGTCAGAAGCAAATTACTCACAGGATAATACATTAAGAAGCAAGGTTATAATGCTGGAAACCTTAGAAAAATGAAACTAAATAGTCTATATTCCTTGTTGGGTCCTTAGACAAGGTCATTTTCCAAATTCTTCTTTCTGAAGGAATTGACATGTACAAACTGTCCTTGCTCGATGGATATTCTAGAACAGAAGTCAGATTAGCAAGCAGTAATTGTCTTCTGGTTTGAGTTTTGGCTTGGGTTTTTTTGGTTGGTTTTAGTAAAGGAATTAATTGTCTGTTGAATGATTATAATAAAACTAAACTTATTCCTGTAATGCGTATGTCAGGACTAGGAATAGCTTGACTAGGATGAAGTGTTGATACATTGTTAAAGTTTGCAAGGAAAAACAGGCATCCAGAGCAAATGTGGGATGCAATTTGTGTTTCTGAATCTGGCTGTTCATGCAGCATGGCATTAGGAGAACATGCCCTAGCTGTGAAGAAGAAACACTGGATGTGCTGAGCACCCATGGTGGGGAAAGTCTTGAGACAAACATAATTTTCTGAATATTGAGCTGACCTTCCCAGTTGGACACCCAGCTGCCCTACAGGCAGGGGGAGGAAGGTGAGCACTTCTGAAAATGCAGCTGCTTTCAGCACTTAAATGGGAGCTTCTCTGCCTTGGACAGCTGGAACATCAGGTGTACCGTTATGTTTAAAATTAGTGGTTGGGAAAGAATTAGGAGGAAAAGAAATGAGAGATTAGTTGAGGTAAATAAAATGTGGACCAAATTGCTTCCTAGTCAGTTCAGACACTTTTTGGGAGCTGCCTCACTGGAAAGAATGTCTCCTAGTGCAAGGATGTCTTTGTAGCTCCTGCCATCTAGAATATTCTCCTTTTATGTATTGCTTAAATGGCCTTTTTGCCTATGACTTAACACCTATTTTTATTTATTGTGAAATGATTGTATATGCTTTTTAGCAACTATGACAGGCAGTGTATTACCCACTGTCATATTTTATTTACTCCCATAAAGCATTATGGAATACACTTAGTATGTCACATCCAGGATACTGTATAATACTGCATTGTACTGCATTTCAATGTGAGACAACTCAGTGCCACAAAAGAGGCACTGCCTTTTCCTTTGCCTACATCTTTTCTCAAGGTTGTTTTTTTCCTGACTTTCCCCGTGGCCAGTGTCTGGTTTCCATGAGTTCCCCCAGTGTATCTGATTAGGACAATGCTTGCCTCCTTGGAAAGGTCTTGCCATTTAAGTCTCACATCTTAGTTGCTACAAGAAGTACAGGAGTTGCTCACATTTCCTCAAGCTGTTTCCCAGATGCTTGATGATTCATGGGGGGCCAGCCTCCAGAGACAGAGTTTGGGTTGACTGTCTAAACCAGTTCACCCTGCAAAACACCACGGCAAATCCCCTTAGAAAACTCTGGTGCTTTTAGTTCGTTCCTGGCTGCACCACTCCATGTTGTAATTATCATATGGGGAGAGAGGTAAGAGGGATTGAAGCTGTTTAAGAGCTCTGAAAACTCTACTCCATTGTCAGGTGGAGGCTCTGAGTGGCTTTGCATTTCTTCCCATGTGAGTTACAGAAGCAGTATGGCCATTTTCATCAAAGGTACTTTCTTCCTTTGTGGAAACGACATCTTCATACTGTCATATTTTTATCTCCCCTATTTTACTACACCAAATTGTCTCCCCATGCTTCTTTCCAGCCTTTCCTCTGTAATGACTATAGTTACTGCATTTACCATGATAGAAATAAAAAGTCACTGGGCTTTGATTTTTAAGCTTTTTAACATGTACAGCTTTATTTCTCCATTTACCTGTTCAGCTTGGGTAGTGCTGTTCCAGGCAATACATTTCCTCTCGGATCTTGGTCAGCTGTGGCTGACTTACAGGCAGAGCAACTCAGATTCATAATTAAAGACATATGAAAAGCTGTGATAGAGCCTATCTTCTTGGGCTACAAGAACTCTGTTCATATGCTCTCTCAGCCGATGTACTGAGTACAGTGCACAGATGTTATGTTTGGGAGTATATATTAGCAAATTTAAAAGACAGCAGCCTAATAGCAGCAGCTGACAACTCTAGAGTAAAGTCTGTATGAGGACTGGCTGGGATAAGAGAGCTTTTCTCTCAAAAGCATGAATCACATGGAACCCCAGAGTGAAATGTGTGCTGACAGTGGGAAAATGGCAAGAGTTTGCTGTCCAAGAGAAAAGAGCAAAGTACTCTGAGGTATAGGATGAGTTCTGCCATGTTTTCCTGCAATAACTGTTATTCTGACTTAGGGAATGGTTCTTTCATTCAAAAGTCCAGAATTTGCTTTCATCAAAACTGTATTATTTTTATCCCTTTTCCTGGACATTTTGAACATAGTCCTGTGAAATATTCTATCCTCTTGGGTGTAGTGGGTGTTTTCAGAGTCTAAAGGTCCTCAGCATTTCAGTAAGAACTCAGTAGTGTTGGCTGGACATCTTGTTTCATTCCAGATTAAGGAAAAAAATACCAGAAGTGTCTTTATTATTTTTATTTTTTTTTTCTAAGAAAAAAATGCAATGCAATAAAATAAAATAGAAAACATACTTGCATGTAGATGTTCCTGATGAAAATTGCAACCAACTGGTGGGTGGTCTTTATTCTGAATTCTCACTGTTATCCCTTTCTCAGTGCAAATTGTTTGGTCAAAACAGAACAAAACTGTTTAATCTGACCAGTTCTGCACTTTGGGAACTATGCAGTCAGGGCTGTATTTGCATAGGAAGGGTGGCTCAGGGTGTGAGAAGATTTCTTGAATGAAAGCATCTTAAAAGGATGTCACAAACAGGTCTTTGCAGGTAGTTTTTAGAGGAAACCCAGACTTCTAAATTCCAAGTTTCAGGTTGTTTGGAAGCTAGAATTATTAGCCTGTCAGAAGGGTACAATGAACTGTTGACACACAACTATGCTTTGTTTAGAGATATGTGCAGGAAGGTGTTTACAGCCAGAAACCAGTGAAAAGTAACCTGAAAAATAAATGTAGTTACATGAAGTGTGTACCATTTCTCTGCATTACTGTTTTCAATAAACAAAAATATGTATTTCATATAAAGAGCTTGGAAAGCTTCAGTCAGTCATTAGATTTTATTTTAGGAGAGAAAACTTTGATTACTATGTGTGGCAGATGGCTGTGGCTGGTTACTTCCTTCAATTTTGTATTACCAACATTCATAGAGTGGCTTGGAGAGAGAAATTTTCTCCGTTAGCTCTTCTTCAGTAGCCAAATTCTCTTGCTTGTAGTGGAACTGGAGATTGACCTGACCTTCTGCAGAGTACCGGTGGTGATGTTTAGTTTAAGATCAGGACACCAGAGTTCAGGTGTTTACATGAAAACAATTTTCCAAGTTCCTGTAGTAAGAAATATGGGCAATGCAGTTGGGTGACAGCTACACCTGTCCAGATGTAGCTCCCACTAGCTGTTTTTAGAAAGGACTCAGTTTTTCCACATATAGTTGGTTCTATGAGACAGCACAGTTTCCATGAGACTTCTGCTGGGGGCTGCTGAATGTGCTGCTGAATCTCCTTGGCCTTATGGAGGCCAGACAGGAAACTATGTCTTAAATGGTGTTAGAAATCTCTTTGTGAGTAACTGAACTGAGCCCTAGATCACCACCCACCACATGGGGAATAGAGGTGGACATCTCACCTTTGAAGGCTCTGATTTGAGTGTCCTAACTGGGGACTGAATCCTGTAATAGTCTGCTTATTGCCTGGAAGTCCTCTGATCCTCGAAATTTCAACACACTAAAGTTGACAATGCACAAAAAATTAGTTGTTGGCAGTTTTTTGATGCTGGGAGCCAAATTCTAGTAACATCTGGACAATGCAAGTGCATGGTGCAACTGAGAAGGCATTTTGATTTTTAGAGCTGGATCTTACCACAGTTCCTGTTATCTTGGAGCCAGGGATTTACAGCAGCTGAGACTTTACCTCAATATAAGTAAACTTTAGGAACAACTGAGTATTTGCTCAGGCAGAAGTTGTGGAATTTTAATTAAGTGGCTATTTGTCTTGAAGTTACTCAGTATGATGGAGGAGCAATTTCTGACTTCAGTTACAGCAGTGTAAGCGTGGAGTAGCTATTTTTGTTAATGATTTATTGACAGCAAATGATTCATACCAGATAAATAAAATCAAAGTGTGACCTGATACATGCTTTTAGGAGGAAGTACTTCAGAACAGTAAAGAAACTTAAGACTCACTTGCACATGCTTTCCTGCAGCCTCGTTATTCCTGGTTTTGTTCAGAGTGCATCTCTCCCCAGAGCACCAAATTTCAGGAGCAGGGATGTTTACCTTTTTAGTTGAGTCTGTCTCACTTGATTGTTCTCATGCTTCAGTTTTTATTAAATTTTAAACTCTGATTTAACACGAAAGTTATGAGAAGGAAAATGTATAATCAGTATCAATATAAAAGTAAATATGTATTCATTGTAAAATAAATATAGTTTATATAGCTGAGTGCTTTTTAGAGGGGTTTGAATTAAGAGAAAATGCACCGTGCTTCTCACTCAATGATAACTGCTCCTAGACCCAACTTTTTATAGACATTACTTGCAAATAATTTGTGCTGTGTTATAAACTGTTGTGTTTTTTGCCTTCCTGTAACTGGAACAACATACTAATTTCTACAAGTTGTGACTACTAACAGAGAGCAATCACCTCACAGACTTGTACCGAAAAGAAGAGACCATCAGCGTGGCAGGGAATGGCTGCATCCACAGTCCACGCTTCCCCAGCAGTTACCCCAGGAACCTCCTGCTGACATGGCGGCTCCACTCTGCGGAGAGCACAAGGATCCAGCTGGCCTTTGATAATCAGTTTGGACTGGAGGAGCCTGAAAATGAGATCTGCAGGTGAGTGGCAAGCCATCTTGTGTGGAAGTTTGCAAAGGGCTCCTTAACGTGACCTTAGAGCTTGAAGATGTGGCCACTGACATGAGACTGCAATTGGAAACCTGGGTATCTCCTGCTGGGCCTATGGTGGCTCTGCTTCAAGGACAGGCCCCCAGGCATCCAGTCTAACCTGAATTGCTCTTTGAGTTGATAAGTAATAAATTAGGCTGTCCCAGACTTTGTCAGGCTTTAGTCTTTCTATAATATTTTAAGTACAAGGCACTTGTTATCTACCTAACAACTCAGGTACTATTTTAATAGACTTTCGTCTTCTGTCACCTCTGTCATGTTCCAGCCAGGCAAAATACCCCATCTCATTCAGCAGGTGGAAGGCTCTGAGAAGTGTGAGTGTTTAGGTATGTTTTTATATTGGGGTATGAGGGACTGATAAAAACGCATTGAAAAGTATAGCCTTCAAATTATTTGTTTGTTTGTTTGTATTCAGTGTTATTATTTAGTGGTACAGTTTCTTTTAAAACCTTCAAAGACATGTCCACAAACATCAGTGTACTCTGCATATATAAGATACTAATAAAGTATACTCTACCCAATTGCTTTGGTTTCCCCTTTTAAGCAAAAGTGACCATAAGCTCAGTTTATGTGGCTGATTAACCCAGGTGGATAAACTGCTTTGTGTTAGCAGAGCACAGAGGTGAATCATGCCAAAAATTACTAAAACAGTATAAATCCATGGAGTTTTTTGTTTGTATTTCTTTTACTCAGCTCTCTGCTCTGTGGGAAAGAGCAAGCTCATGTGCCCCAAAAGGCAGATTGCTGTGATGCTACTTACATAAAACACTCAAGTCTCAGCTTCCAGCTCTTTGCTTGATCGTGTTGTTACTTACGCTTTATCTGTGCAGAGAACTGGGTTGTTAGGATTTCTGCACACCCAGCCTCTGCTTATCTTATCTTCTTTGTCAAATAATTTGCATTTATAGGGTTTGGCAGCTCTGCAGGGTTTTACAGCATGGATTTTTTATCTTGTTTTGCTTTGTTAATTTTCTGCTTTACCAATAGACAGAACCATTTGTGCATGTTTGCTTTCCATATAGTAATAAAAGAATGCAGCCTGAAACTAGCTCTCCTTCCCTGTGCCTTGATGGTCTTGGCAGCTGCTGCTCTGCTCCAGTGCTGTTGGTCCAAGATCAGCAGCAGAGTCAGTTATGACAGTTACCTCCAAACCTGGCAAATGCTTTCCCAGATTGACAGCCTAAAGCATACAGAAGTGGGCTGTTAATATTTACATAGTGAATAAACTGTGGCTGACCTTAAAGCATTGCAACTTTGAAACCAAGGGCTAATTTACTGGGAGAAAAAAAAAATAAAATTAAATATTCTCTGTCAAGAGCCATTAAACGTGGTGGCATGGTGAGGAGAAGCCAAGCTGTTACTGGCATTAAAGGCTTGAGGACTGTCATGGAAAACAGTCCTTGCTCCTTCCAGAGCAGCTAATTTAGGATGCTGAGAAGCAAAGACATTCCATTATCCAGTGTCCACAGAAGCTGGAGAACTGTCACATTCTTTTCTGCAATAAAGCTTTCCCTGGTGTTCCTGGAAGACCTTCGTTTGTGTAGCATTGCTTCCAGAGTGAGGAATTTCTCAGGCAGGCAGCTTGTGATGGCTTTAAGCCTGTTAAGTACTGAGTGTATAGTGGGTTTTTTTTTGCTAGTGCTCATTATGTTTTTCAAAAGTTGGTCCTTTCTGCAACTTCAGTCCCTGACAATGTCTGCAGTGCTGCTTTACAGAGACAACTAGGCATGTTTTAATTGAAATGAATGCTGAGAGCTGAGCATGTGCTTGAATGCTGTGCATATTGGACAAGTAATTCAGGACCTCTTCTCCTTACCTTCCTTTTGTACTTGCTTTTGACTTTACACTTTTTTTCCCAGAAACTTCCTAGGGTTTTCTTTCAATTTTTCATTAACACTAATTATTGAAATTTGCATACTATTAAGACTGAACTGATTGAAATTAATTCAGACTGAGGAATGGAAAAATATACTTTAACAGAGCTGTTGCAGAAGGAGGGAATATATTCAGGATTTTACAGAATTTTCTGGAAGTGCCAATACCATTTCCACAGGCACTTGATGATTCTGAAAATCAATTAAATTACCAGCCTCTGAGGCTCTTTGGATGCTCAGAAACAACTGAGATTGAAGCTACTTCCATGATCATTGCAGCAAAGCCTCTGCTGTTGAAAGCAGGAAAAAAAACAAAACTGAAAGCCTGTAGTTTTCCCCCATTTTTTGAGGTCAGGAACCAGAATAACCAGTGAAAACAATTTAACCACAGCCTACAAGGTTCTCTTATGCTGAAAACTGCAAGCCCTGATGTTAACAATAAGCATTCCACTGTTGCTGTGCAGCCTGGGGTGTGGTGGTGGATGCAGGTGCAGAGACACAGAGCTCTGCCCAGGTACCACATCCATCACCATGAGGAAAGGGGAGTACGGGATGGTGAAGAGAGCCTAAAACAAGTTTACTTTTGTCTGGAACTAAACTTAGTCATGTTACAAAATAAAAGTGTATGTTTCGGCAGAGTTTGGGCAGATTTAAGTGATTTGGTTAAGGCAAATCTGTTATTTTCTGTTCTGTGCAATTTGGGGTTGGTGAATATAAAGCAGCAGTGCTGATAGTCTCAAGCCACATAGTGCTTGTGGTTTTTTCACATGGGCTCTCAGCAGAAAAAGGAAAAGAGGTCTGTTATTTACAGAGCTATTCAGCTACCACAACAGGGCAGGGAGGCAGGCACTTCGCCCACAGTCCCAGGGTGGAGAGCAGCACATTGCTAGTAACATTTGTTTAGCAGTCCTAAACACCTTCTTTGGAGAGAGCACATGCATTGTTAGTAAAAAACTTCCCTGGTAAAGACCTCCGAAGTTTCAAGGCTTAACTGTACCATGAGGGTGGCAGCTCTCCCATCTCTCTTTGTCTTCACTCAGCCTGCCCCTCTTGTTATCACCTCTTGCTTGCCAGCCCCAATTTCTAGGGCCTAATTCTGGCTTCACAGGCTTTGAGGGCCTGTTTTTCTCACAGATGTAGAGAGAACAGGACTTTATTTTCTGCCTTCCTTTTTCTCCAACTCATTAAATGAACGGAATAAATGACCCAAGCAAGAGAATTCACAGGCTGCAGCAGTGAGTGCTGTCACTGTGTCCTCTTATCCTCTCTACATTATTTATGTACCACATGAAACGCAATGTGTATGCTTACTGTGTACTAAGCACATGCAAGTGCCTCTCATTGCTATTTTAATGTGGTAGAAAATACTGTCTGTTATGTTCCAGGAGCCTAAAAATCAGCCACTTGAGCACTCAGGCAGTAGCTTGCAGTTTAGTGTATTTTGTGCTATGTGAGCATGTCCACCGTTTATAATACTTAGTCTGATGTTTTGCAGTGGAGAACAGGGGACATTTGTTTATGTCTCCAGCTGTTCTCCTGTCTATTTGCAACCATCTTCTGTAACCAGAGTTAGTAGAAATTAATCCCTCAATTCCCAGGTATGACTTCGTGGAAGTGGAAGATATATCAGAGACCAGCACAGTTATACGAGGACGGTGGTGTGGACACAAGGAAGTACCTCCAAGAATAACATCAAGAACAAATCAGATAAAGATAACCTTCAAATCCGATGACTACTTTGTGGCTAAACCTGGATTCAAGATTTGTTACTCCCTTGTGGTAAGTCACCTCTCTGTGTCATGTGTGAGAGATGGATTGTAGTGTAAAAGAGCATTAGTACTTGAAGACTGGATGGTGTAGCTAACTGCATTGAATCAAAACACTAATAGGCTGAAAGTATTTCCATTCCAGCAACTACATTAATACAGATAAGTATTTTCGACATCCTGTCATTAAATATAAAATAAAGTCAAGTCCAGGCCAAGATATACACTAATAACATGTTTCAGAAGCACTAACACTTTCTACACTGAGCCTGCACTGTCAGTGTCTTGACAGATGCTACAGAAATAGCAAAGAAATGGCTGCTCTATGAACTCCTTTTTTATGTTCGAGGCCAAATAAAAATACCTTGAGGGGTTACGCCTGTGATTCTAAATTAGATGCAGAGTAGTTTGTTCTCCATGCAATAAAATTCTATGTGCAAGATGATATGCTAAGGCTCAGGCTCTACGTTTAACCACGTGTAAACATGCTTCTTTGGATATGCAGTGACATTAGCAGTGTATCATGGACTGTTTCAGAGAGAGGAAAACCTCCTTTTTTTTTTTTTTCCATTTTTTATTTAGGAAGCAGGAATGCTCATTGCTCTAAGCGGATATTGATATCAATATGTATTCTTTTGTATTATCCTGATTAATATTATAATGCTTTTGGTGCAGTGTAGCTCAAAAGAGGCAGGTTTTGCAAACACGCAGGAGATAGTAAGCATTAATTTATCATACTGTCATCATTATATTTTCATAGCCATCACACTTACTCCCTTTTTATTCAAGCCACTGTTATTTAACAAGAATAAGAAAGCCTGGAATAACAATAATGTTAATGCTGTAACAGGAGAAATCCGCTGTTTCAGTCATTTCACTTCAACATCCCAGCTTTGCATGCATGTATGTCTATATATGCTAAGAAGAGTCCACAAACAGCACATTGTCAAGACAACTCTAAAGACTGCTCCCTTGCATTTAAATGTTTAGGCTTCTAGTGGAGTAAAGCATTGCACTGTGAGTAAATCCTGAGCTCAAATTTACTCTAATTTGAAGGTGAACTAAAATCACTAAAACTAAAATTTAGGCAAAACAGCCTATCTAAGACCATTGGGCATAAAAATAAGACAGTGAAGCAGTCTGTCTTTACACTGTTCATAGTTCATAGCCACAAAAACTCTGCTGCATTTACCAAGCTTTATTCCAGACCATGTACAGCAAGTCTGGTAGTATTAGGCTTTCTAAAAATGAGTGTTATCACGCAAAACACAGGGGTCTCAGCACCAGAGAGCTCAAAAATGCTACCATATATATTTAATTTCAAAGCTATGAGTGAACAGATAATTTTACAGTCTAGCAAATCTATTCAGAAGAAAAATTTCCAAATGCACACCCTCTCGAATGAAACTATTTTATTTCTGAGAAGAGAACTGTACAGTTGATTAGTGGCATTTGCAAGATGGGGGATGGTATGTACTGAGCTGGTCTTCAGATTCCAAGCCATCCAGGCTGAAACTGCAGGATTAATACTCAGCAGAGTCAGCCCTGATGTGATAGTCCCCTCAGCCACTTGGAGCACAGTTCATAGATATGCTGAGCACTGCTGACCCCTGAAGGTTGAACTCATTGTGCGTTTCTAGGCAGCAAACCAGGGCATATTAATGAAGCATGCAATAACATATGGTATTTTGTATCACATTAAATGAAAGAACTTTACATAGGTGTTTTTTTTTTCTTTCCGTTGTAACCTTCTCCAAGGCAAGGCTACTACTACTTGGGGCTTTCTTGGAAAATTCTGCACAAGATTTGTGCAAATCTTTTAACTCCTTTGTTGTTGTTTTTTTTAATATTTGGAGTTTAGATCTGCATGGAAGTCATTTATTTATGCTAGATTCTGACAATTTTCCAGAGAAAGTTAAAGCAAGTGATTTGGAGAGTTTATCCGAGTTTATTGATCAGCTGCATCTACTGAGAATAGTGACAGAAGGGGTAGGTAAATTTCTCCACATTGCACATGCAGCCAAACAGCCTTGCAGCCTGGCTCTCTGGCCCTCCCATTTATGAATCTTTGAGGAATTCAGTGAAGTTCAATTCAGTTGATGCAGATCAAGTTTTTACTTAGCTCAGCACTCTGCGTGAGGTATAAATGAGGCACCACAGTGCTTTGCAGAAACATGATTCATTATCTTCATGTACTTGTTTTTTTGCATTAACTTCATATTTCAGTACCATTTAGAGAAACAAAAAGGGATTTGTTCTCCTAGAGAAGACATCAATTAGACTTGTATCCATAAAAATTAAAACAAAGCATGCACAGTAAGCAGCCTATGGAAGATGTATGGCCTCAGTCACTTAGGACAGTGGGATTAGAATTCAAAGTGACTCTGGAATACTAGACTGAAAAGTACAAGTATGGTCTTGAACAGGGCAAGGTTGAAAGCCATATAGATGTGTGAGAATAATTAACTGTCCCAGTATAAGATAGAGGACAATGGAAAAGGAAGCAGGTCTGTGAAATGAAGTCTGAGCATCTAGCATTCAGCAACTTTTGCTTGAACCTTCCTCCTCTCCCCGCGTCCTCTGCCTCTGCTCTCCTCTGTGTGGGTCTGAGGGACACAGAAGGCTGGAGGTGGAGCACTGAGGGTGTTTTTTGAGGGAAGGGGCAGATCCAACATGCTGCTGCCTGTTGCTTGTCCCTGATCTCCTCTTTCCCCATGAAGCCGTAGGACTCCCTGGGGTGGGACCTCCAGGGTGGACCTGACTCCAGGACCTTATTAGTGAGTTGAATGTGCGCTACTGCTTATCCCAAGTTGATTAAGAGTCAAAAATGTCCTCATGTGGCTGGCAAGAGTCACTCCTATGCTGTCTGTGACAGTGCAGAAGTAGGTAAGTATGCGCAGCTGGTTGCTGGTATCTGTGGACACCTCATGTTCAAAGCCCCCAGCTGTAGCTATGCAATTTGTTGGCTTAGCCTGGGTATCCACACAGAGAAATGTCTCCCTTGAACCTCTTTAAAAATTGTCTTTTCTTTCAAGCTTCACAGACCTAGAGCAAAAACGGTCTGGAGCAAACCCTGGACAGCTATTAGGCATGAACCTCACTTAGCTGCAAATTTGTTTGAAATTTCTCCCTGTCTTTATCACATGAAGGGCTTATTTCCTTTTTTGTTTTCCTTTTCTTAATTGAGTTGCCTTAGGCACATTAATTTTCAGTATAGAAGGCACTGAGGTATTCCAGGTTTGTTGGGTTTTTTCTCGCACATTCTATAATTTCTTATTCTAAGGACCTAGCGTTTCACAACAAACACTGCAGAAACATGATAAAGAGGAAGATAAGAAATCTTAGGTTAGTTACAGAGTTTCTGTAGCAGAGGTAGGCACTGTCATAAGAAAGGCCCCTGAGTTGCACACCTTAAAGTAGGTGATGTGACTATTCTCTCCATCACTGCTCACAGTGCAGTTACCACAACTGAGGGATCTCAATTGTAGCAAGTTGGTGTTCAATAATTACTAAAAATACTGCATCAATTATTTTGAGATGTAGGAATGTAAATTAAGTTTCATTGCTACAAATGAAAATATTTGCTCAATTGAAGAAACTTTATACAATCCCCTTTTTCTTTCTGAAGTGAAATTCTTGCAATGTCCTAATTCTGGAAAGGAGTGTTAACAAGATTGGACCCCATGTTTTACAAGCACATTAGCATGGACATTTACTAAAATAATCTAGGAACTCATTCAGGAATGTGTTCCAACCATAAAGGTGAATGTTTTCAATTAAAATTCCCAATCCTGCATCTAATTTGATTTTATTGAGACAACTAGAAAATGTTGAATTCCATTTGCTAATTAAAACCATTATTTTGTTTATTGTAAAAGACACATATTTGTTATACACTTTTAACAGGAAATTGTTATTGCCTTACTAATTGTTAATCTTAAAAGAAATGGGTATTTTGGAACTTTGACTAAAATCATTATTGGAAACAAGACCTACAGAAAAGCTAGGAACATACATATATGTATAACTATGCACATATACAAAGACGTAAGGTTAAACTATACATATTTGTATATACTTGCATATATATGCTTTTACTTTTTAATCTTAAAAGAAATGGGTATTTTGGAACTTTGACTAAAATCATTATTGGAAACAAGACCTACAGAAAAGCTAGGAACATACATATATGTATAACTATGCACATATACAAAGACGTAAGGTTAAACTATACATATTTGTATATACTTGCATATATATGCTTTTACTTTTCTTAATAATATAATTAATCACTAGGAAACATCATGTGGTATTAAGAGCAATCTTTGCTTATTTGGAATTGTAAACCAACATTGGTGGACATGTGATGCCAAACAGGAGAACATAAGTGCATTTGTCCCAGGATAAACTTAAATGTGTATCAATGTACTACATCATGAGCAATTTTTGCTTGTTTGAAATTACGATTTTGAATGAAGAATCCATGAATAAATTGATGAAATACAGGGGTGAGACTCTGGGATTTGATCCATCATGTGGAATTTTACAGAGAAGTAGCTTTCTGCTAAACAGCCAGGCTATAGGTCGCAACTTGTGATAAAAAAAAAAAGAGGACATGTCACAGAGAGGGGCAAGATATCACAGTCAGTCTAATTAAATTTAATTATTTTCTCATGAGAAAAATATTCACCAGTCATAGTTACAATACTAAACTTAAACTCTTTGAGACTTTCCTGTTAAGCTCACAAGAAAGCACCAAAAATTCAAAGCACAATCAGAAAATTAAAATGGGCAGAATAAGGACCTGATCCTGATACTGTACTCACAGACAGTCACTCTGAATTAGATAACTGACTCCCTGTATTCCACCAGATTTCTTTTTGCACAAGTAGTGCAGAACCAGTCTGCAGGTTGTTTGTTGTTGTTTGTTTTTTTTTTAATAAGTCAATAAATAAACTCCCTTGTAAGAGTTAACATGACCACAAAAGGATTTGGGCACCAGTGTGAATACAA